GGTAAAGACTGAGGCAAGGAAAGTACTAAGTATCCTGTTTGTTTCTATGTCCTCGGTCAGCAGTTTCCCTGCCCTGTTCAGCAGTGGGTTCATGTTTTCCCCAGTCTTCCTTTTGTTGCCAATATGTTTGTACAGATCTCTTTTGTTGCCCTTCAAATCTCTCACCAAATTCAAATCCAGGTGGGCTTTAGCTTTCCTAACCTCATCCATGCGTGATTGGACACAATTTATATATTCCCACTTTTACATCCTGTACACATTGTTTTTATGTTGGAGTTTAATTCCTTGTTCATCCAAGCAGGCCCCCAGGCACCTTTGCTTGATTTCCTGCTTGCTAGGATGGACCTTTGGCTTGAAGGTGATCCTTCAGTTACTGGAGTTGGTGAGCAGGGACATCAATATGGTTTCCAGACCTATAAAGCTGTTCTAGCAGCTTGCTTTGTGAGACCTGTAGTATCTACACCTGTGCTGCTGGGCTGTGATAATCACCTGGGAGGTCCATCAGCATGATGTATGGGTAAGAAGGAAGAATTTTAATTTCATTCTCAGCACTACTGAACTTGAACTGTGGATCAGACAGACCTTGTGAATTAGTTACTTGCTTTTAGCCTACCTTAGAGTCACTGACCAGGAGAGAAAGAAGTTTTAGGTATTAAACATTGCTTCACAGATCACTTATTTGACTTAAGGTTTTTCTTTGCTTTTTATGTGTGTGTCCTTCTCTCTTCATAAAGAACACAACTATTATTTCTGCTTACATTGTACTTCCTCAGTTTTATCCTCTCTAATGTGTTGAATCAGAATGACTTTGACAGTTATTAGTGGGCAGCTGGCGGGAAAGTCTTACTGCATTAGATTGCTTAGAAAATGGAGCTATTTAATCTATCAACATCTATAGAACTACTTCTAGAGCAAAGTCTAGATAGGTGGAGACTGGGAAAACAGTAGCACCATAAAGTACGGCTTAAGGGTTTTGGCAGGCCTTTCATATTTTCTATTCATACAGACTTCTTTTATCCTGTTTGAAATGAGTTTGTGAGGCTTTACATTCTGCAACCTCTGTTCTGAGTGCTTGCAAGCATGCGTGCTTAGAAAACAGCTTCGTAACAGGTATTTATCTGAGTTCAAAGCTACAGTCCACAACACCTCCTTAATCTTCAGCAAACCATAGTGGTGTTTTTTGAGTTTCTCAGTGAAATGTTGTTTGACCAGCAGTTGCATAGTGTTCTTCTTAAATATAAAGATAAGTCACTGTTTTTCTTCCTTCCTTAGCTGATGGTCATTCCCAGGAATTCTGACTTCTCTCCAGAAGACCTGACCAAATGCATGTGGAAAGAAAAACTTGTGTCTGACAGCTTAAATAGGACCGGATAGAACAATTTTCAGTGTATCTCAATTCCAGAGAGAAGTAAAAACTGACAGATAAAATCGAGATGTGCCAGGGATGCATGCAGCTATACATTTGGTTTATCTATAAGTAGTGCCTCCCCTGCTTCCATTGGTGTCAAACTTTACATTAATAACAGTTCATTGTGTTCAGTTACAAAATGGACTTTGTTACTGTGCCCTCCTACCATGTAGAGTTAAATCTGGGGGGCTGGAGGGGTTCCTTTTTGAAAACAAACACTTACTTAGCCATTCAGAACTACTTGTTTTTGATAATTCATGATTTTGTTGTGTCTAGTCCTGATTCCAGGCAGTCTGTCTCTATTTTCTGGCCTTGGGTCTCCTTAAGGTCAACCTGCCAAGTGTGGCATGGAACTTTATTTCTTAAAGAAGCTCATAGCCAAGTAGGCAAGTTGGGCAAATTCTTTCATTCCTTAGCTGTTGTATTTTTCTACCTCTTGGGTAGCCATCACTGTCCTTGCCGCTTCTTTGGCTGAATGAAGGCAAGCTTTACTCTCTGTTTTCCTGTCTCTGGTGCAGCTTACCTCACAGACTCTCTATGCACCTGGGAATATCGCAGGTGTATACTTTTGCCTGTAGAAGAGTAGGAAAATGACTCAAGATCTAGAAACTGTTCTTTCAAATACGGGTGTATGTAGTGTGAGGGTTGAATATACAGAATAAAAAAAGAATTTGGTTTCAAACACAGCTTGCAAGTATTGGGCTTTGACTGCACAGCCATATAATGGTAGCAGATTTACCACTTCAAGAAAAAAAACTGGTTTTACAAAACTTTGGTGTTAAACCCTTCAGTGCAGAACTGGCAAAATCAGTCACTTGACCCAGCTGCATCAGTCTGCTGTACAGCTGGTAGCTGAAGTCTGATTCCTCTTCTTTGTCTGACTTGCAAGACTGCTTTCCCCATATCTTTTTATTTCTGTAGTTTCGCTGGTACTTGTCATCCTTGACTTTGCAAATACTCATCTAAAGAAAGGGCATGCTTAGTCAAACAAAACCAGTATAAATGATACAATAGTAGGGTCTCTCCTTCCCTTTCTTCCACTGAAAGAGCTAGTGTTGCTGATGAGATTTGGATTTGAGTATTGAATCTACTCTAGCAAGTTTTAAGAAATCAGAATTATGTATTAGCCTTTCCTGAACTACCTGTTAAATTTCTCATCTACTGTGTGAAAGGCTCTTGAGAATCAACTGTCATATGCAGGAATATGACTGCTGGCATCTCATTTCCAGTAGTTTACAAGATTCCATCATTGCTGTAATTTAAAGTGGTGCTGCATAGTATATGGATAAATTACTTACGATGCTGCAAAATGGCCATAATCACTTTTTACTACTATGATTCTGATAACTAGAGAGGCTTCCTATGGCAGGTTACAGGCACTTAAGTGCTGAACACTCCTGCTGTGTAAATTTGACCCTAGCTAGTAGTTGATATTGTCTTCTAGAAATAATCCTATGTTGACTTTCTTAAATGGCAAGAATCAAGTCAAAATAGAAAATCTAATCTATCAATTCCCAGCTAGTCTATGAAATGAACTTCTTTCTGTTCACACTGCATCTTGAAAAAAATCACAAGAGATATCAAAGACATTTTTAAAGAAAAAAGCCCCAACTTTTAACTTATTGGAAAATACCCATTGTCAGTGTATGTGACTGGATTATAGAAGAGGTCCCTGTGACATGTGAAGCTGAGGTGGAAAGATTTGTCCAGAATCACATAGCAGATTCCTGCCATGACTAGATGTCAGGAATATATTTTAGTATTTGGTGGGGTCTTTTTTTCATTGGTTGTTTTTTTACACTTAGCATCATAGACACTGAATCCATTTTTGCCAAAAGGTCTGTGGTGTTCTACCTGGCACCTTGATGGTGGTAATTTTCATGAGCTCTTCTGTGGACAGTTCCCTAGTGCATATTTCTAATAATATAAAAAAGTGAGGCGGCATGTAGAAGAAAGAGGACTAATCTTTAGTTCAGTGGGCTCAGCTCCAGTGGAGAATAAACTGTTCTTCAGTGTGGCTATACGAGTTCAAACAAACTGTATGGAAACTGGGAAATTCTGTCATTCCTGCTGTAAAACTGGACACTGCCAGCTTTTCTATTACGATGACATTTGCACATCTTCACAAAAAAAGTAAATTAGGAGAAAAGGCTGAGGTTATTCCCAGCTGCCTGCATGGGAGATCAGAAGACAAGCACTTTGAACGCAGGTCTTTAGCTCTTGTATGTGACTCGCATTAAAAGAGCAAGGCACTGTGGCTCGTGGGGCTCTGTGTTGGATAGTGTGTTATTTTGGACAGCTACAAGTTTTGTAGGTCAGCCCTGTTCAGCCACCTTTGGAAGATACCTTACACAAAGCTTCTGGGTAGAATGTCGAACGATCACAGCAGTGTTCAGGGTACTGCTTGTTCAGTTTCCAGAGTGCCCTATCTCAATTGCCTTTTTGGATTTGCTTCCACAGGAGTCTTAAGAGTCTGCTGATCTGCATGGAAATGAGACAGGGGGTGGATTTGAAAATAAATGTCAAAAGGATTAGGCAAAAGATATACTACAGAGTTCCAGTTGCCCAGAGTTGGCTGATCCTGCATTGCAGGGATGGAAGGAAAAGACATAAATCTGACCACTCCTTGAGGCTTCTTTTTACCTTTACGTTTTGTACAGTGAAAACCCCAATTAAAGTATTTTGTCCTGTCCTGTTCTGCAAGCATGGATGTTCTGTTCTAATCTTTTCTGTAATAAGGATAAACCACTTGTACAGACTTCAGTGGGAGGTACTGAACTCTTCAACAAACTGTTTTTGTAGTGTGTGTCTAAGGGTTGAAGAATCTAATTGATAATCTTAATAAAATATTTCTGACTGACACTTGGAGGCAGCAGGTAAAAACTTCTGTCCAAAAGAACCTGAGGAGCTCACTGTTACTTGGTGTTTGGTTGTAAGACTTCTGTGTTGCAGAAATTGGCAAGCTGCTGAACAGCTGAAATGCAAGTTTCATTCCTACTTCTGCTATTCATTCTTAGGCCTATAAAAGTGATGTAGCAGAGTTTATCTTGACCTCGTGAGTGATTGTGTGTCATTTGATGGCAAGCTCAACACATGTACAAAGGGCACAGCACTTGAAAAACACTTGCAAACCTCCAAGTGCTTTGGACTGTCTTCCGGTGTTTTTGACCTGGACATCAAAGTGAAATCTCTATTCCTTGTACTTCTTAATGCTTTTTAATGATAATTAAAAGGAAAACATTCCTGGATCTTCTTAAATTTGTCTTTTTAATCTTATACTAAGCTAACTGAGAACACTTTTTTTTTCTTCACCAAGGCTTGCTGGAGTGTGTAACTAGCTTTTCTCCTTTATTTGAAAGTACTCCTTAAGTTATACATGCGTTCATGTAGTCAGCCTCTGCTGTGGTCTATGTTGCATTCCTTCAGTGTTTGCACAGAAGCCAGCACCAAAAAAACCCATTTAAGTGGCTTTGCAAGGTAACTTTTCTGGCTGCCCTTAAAAACATTTCAATGTCTCAGAACAAATGACACTGTCTTATTTCAGCTAGTTTTAGAGTGTTTGATTTCTAGTTTTTTTACTTTTTTTCCTAAGGTTTCCTATGCGCGACCAAGTTCGGCTTCTATCAGAGATGCAAATTTGTATGTTAGTGGACTTCCAAAAACAATGACCCAGAAAGAACTGGAACAGCTCTTTTCCCAATACGGACGCATTATTACTTCTCGTATTTTGGTTGACCAAGTCACTGGTAAGTAGGCAGTTTTGCACCTCCTCTCATTTTTGGACTGGCAGTTTAAGAAATATTTCACCTTTCAGTATAATAGTCTTGTCTCTAGAATGTATGAAAGGTGTATGTAGGCCAGAAAATGCAATTTTCTGCTGGAATTGTTCATAAATATGCATGGACAAAAATAGATTGTGGAGTGTACTGAGCCAGCTTGAGTCATGTCCACCTGAAGGTGCAGGTTTGAAGCCTGCTTTGTGGTTTGTAATAAATTTACAGCTGCTATAATCTTCCTTTCCAAGCTGCTGCATGAAAATAGTCCCTATGCACCTTATGAAATGCTATTAAACACTTTTTTTAATAAAAATAAAATTTTATGCAGAAATGCACAGCTGGTTCTCTGAGGCTAGGATTACAAAAGACCTAGACTGGTAATTGCCGTTAAGACTGTTTTCAAGGTTGCCTCATTAACTTTGGGCATGCTAAAGAACATGAACTTTGAGTTCCTCAAGAGCAGATAAGTTCTGTGCTTAGCAGTGCCTTAAGGAACTAAGCTCTAGCAGGTTAGTTGCGTTGTTACAGTATGTGTCTTAACCAGTGAGTGGGTGTCAGTGACACTCTGTGGTTACTCTTCAGCCTTGGACAGTAATGCATGTGTTTTTACTGGCTCAAATGGCTGATCTTGAGGAGCTTTATGATTTGCTGCCTCACCTGCTTCCAGCTGGCCTGTTCCAAAAATAAGCAATCAACTGAAATGCCAAGTACATGACAGAAGTATTGAGTGTGCAAAGCAAAATACAAAGGAGCAGGGCTCTCCAAAGTCTCATCTTTGCAAAAAAACTAGGGGTGTGGGGTGGAAGAATTCATTTAGTCGCATAATGATTCCCTGAATAATAAGCTCGATTGGATTATTTTTTTTATAGCTGTACCTTTTCAAAGTCACATGTCATCATGGGTGACAAACAGCTTTCAGCTGTAGGAGGTCATAATGTTTTCAAATGGTCTTTGAAAGGATTGTGCATGCCAGTGTTTGACACTTGGCTGACCTGTAGAGAACCTCATATGTACTACTTTGCAATTCCATTATGTTAACAGAAATCTCAATATTGACACATAATACTTACGAAGTGTTTTAATAGTGTGAGTTTATGAGAGTGTAGAGAGGCAGTGATAGGAAAGCTAAAGGGCAAATAGTGACTTGTAGAAGCAGCAGATTTGCAGGTCAAATTTCCAGTCTTTGTGCAATAAATAGCTGTTTACAGTATGTTCCTGTATATTCATGCATAGAAATGGTGGGATTTGACAAATAGGCCAAATAAGTAAATGTAACTAAACTTTTAAATGTGTACTGTAATTCTAAGTACTCATAAATCCTAGTATGTGCACAGTAGTTCTCTGGCATAGGCTGTTGTTCAGGTTTAAGCTTTCTTCCCTCCTTCTTAGTAATTTGGAAGAGGTGGACTCAAAATGATATGAATAATAAGGTTGTGACACAAACTGACAGATGAAAAATGCAAAGTTGAAGCTGTAACGTTTGCCTCTTTAAAGATTTCTTACACCTGCTCATTGTCACTTTGATGGTTTAAATTGTCATTGTTTATGAACAGAATACATTTCTTGTTGTTAATGTCTTAAGTGAGGACAAGTGTTTAACTTGTCTGTTTATTCATGAATCAAAATATAAGGGGCCTCTAAATGGATTTAGGAATACAACAAAGCATGCAACTAACTAGTGTTGGCTGTAGTAGGTTTAATGTTAATTGGTTCAAATATTGACACTCAGTGTGTTTATATTTAAGCCACAGTGTGAACTTTTGAGGTGCATGTTCTAAGACCTTCCATAAACACTTGCTGATCCCCTTGCATGTTGTCTTTGACTTTTCTATACCAAGGAAGAATCTATGGCCCAAGAAAAGTTTCCTTCAAAAATAACACGTACAAAAGTATGGTAGTATGCTGAAACTGAATCTTTTTACTTAGAGGTAACCATGGACTGTTAAAACAGGGCTGTAATTCCCATTACTGCAATCTAGAACCTGTGCGCCATTCTTTGTCCTCTCAGCATATTTGCTCCCAAGGGAACTTCAAGGGGTGCTGCAAGAGAGCTTAAGCCATTTCTTGCTACTAGGGAGCAGATGACTAAGCTATTTACAGAATTTCTATGAATTTAGATACTGCAGAGTAGCATGAACTGAACGGAGGTTACAGTGCAGCTGGTTCTGGGTTCACCTCCATCCCCCGCCAAAATTGCTGTTTCAGGATTACCCTTTGGCTCGCTGTGTTTAAGTTTGCTCCACTGTGTTTTCCCTCAACCTTCCAAGCTTTTTACACGATGTCTCTTACCTCAGTTAAATTAAAAAAAAATTACAATAGAAAAGTCTTACTACTTGGAGCAAAAGCTCAGTTCTAATAAGCTCAAAATTAGCATGTGTTCATAGCAATTAGCCATTAACATAGCAATGGTCTATGAAAATCAAATGTTAACCTCTAATATTCCAGAGTGTCTGAATTAATTCCTATATGCTTCCTTCACCCTGTGCAGGGGTATCAAGGGGTGTGGGGTTCATCCGGTTTGACAAGCGAATTGAAGCAGAAGAAGCTATCAAGGGCTTGAATGGCCAGAAACCTCCAGGTGCCACAGAGCCCATCACTGTAAAGTTTGCTAATAATCCAAGCCAAAAAACCAATCAGGCCATCCTTTCCCAGCTGTACCATTCTCCAAACAGAAGGTATCCAGCACCTCTAGCTCAGCAGGCTCAACGTTTTAGGTAAGTCAAATACATACTTGTGTGCAACTGTGCTGGAAGCCACGTGTTCCCATGGGCCTGTTTGTTTCCCTCCACTCTTTCCCTTCCCTGCTTGTATGATTTCTATATGTGAAGGAAACACATGAAAAAGTTGAACCTCAGCTATGCTCCTACAATACAGCTAAAAGCAAAAAAGCATTCCATCCTATTGATAGCATTTCAGTATCTAATAAATCTACTTAATTAAACTGGGATGACAGCTTTTTCTTCTACACAGTCACTAAAAAAATCCCTTTTAAAGGTTATTTTTAATTTCCTAGATTATTGTTGATTAATGTGCAAGTTGATTCAGTTAACATTGACCTAGGCGATTCGATTTTCTTCTTAGCCATATGGCTTGTCACAGCCAGCCTCCTCTTCCCCACCCCCTATCTTTCTTCCCCATTCTGGCTTTCAGTTTTTTTTCCTAGTCAGTTGTCTAAATTCTACATGCCACACTTTGTCTTCTCTTACTACAAACTTCTGTAATGAAGATTATTCAAACATTTTCTGCATGTGTATTTGCGGATATATGTTCCCATCATGCTGAAGCTACAGCCGTACAGTTCCCTGTGATATTTAGTGTATTGAAAAGGACAGATGGTGAGAACAAAGTGAAACAAATATTGTATTATCTACATTCATGAGTACCTCAGATTTCTTTCAGTGATTTTGATAGTTTCTTCCCACTCTCTGCCCCTGGGCTATGTGACTGGAATGTGTTAAACAGTAATATACTCAAACAGTTTCTATTTTATTTTTCAAGAAATAAAATCAGCTGGCAGTTTGCTTCAAAGAGAATATACCAAACTTCAAAAGGTCTGCATTGGCTACCCTCGCTTTTAGGCTGAACATCCAGAGTTCATGGACTGCACTTCTGGCAGAACTTCTGCATTCTTCTTTTCTTCAGCTTTTCAGCCTTATGTGCTGCAAGTGTCTCAGAGGTGTGAAGGTCAGCACTAGAGTAGGCTTTCTGCCCTAATGGAAGGGTTAACCAATTTCATTCATTATTTGGTGGATTTTCTTACCATTTCTTAGGGAATAAAAGGGTTAAAGTGTGCTGAATATTGAATAAAAGTAGGCTTGCCATTGTTCCATAGACAGAGCATAGGGGCAGAAGTTGCACTTGCAGGATGGACGCAAGTGTATTATATGACATAAGATCATGAGGGAGCTGTTGTACAGCCTGTGTGTTACAGCATTCAACGTATTCTGGCAAGTCTGGCCTGCTGACTCTGAGTTTTTCTGAGTGCGCTTGTTCCCAGATACTCGGCTGTGTTTGGTATTACTCTTGATACTGGCTGGGATAGCATCTGTATTTAACTGATACTCCAGGTAGATCTATCATGATTTGTAAAAATTCTCCAACTTTAGGTCCTATCCAAAGAAAAAACTCCAAAAGTTCTTTGCAGTTAAGTAATTTCAATACGCTACCCCTGTCGGGCAACATTAGGCTTTGAACCTTAAAAATTTGATTGATTTATTTTTGTTTAAAAGGAAGTGTATTTTTATGAATGCCCTTTTAAATTTCACTGGAAAGTTTTTTGTTTTTTTTTTTTCCTGAGATACTAAGTGTAAAGTGATGCCTGAAACATCCATAAGAGATACTGTGATTTGCTCCACTTAAAAGTATAATGGTAACAAAAAGCACTGAGTGTAGGTACCAAGTCTGTAGTGAATAGGAGGGAGAGTAAAATCTTTCTCACTTTCATCGATGCGGAAGGAAGAACAAGGTTGAACTGACTGGTCAAAAGGTAAACTGGTGTTGCAGACAAAATTAGATTTTTTTTTTTCATAATTTTTTGGGGAAGGCCTTCGGGTTTCTGTAAAAGAGACAGCCTTGCCAAATTTTAAATTTTTGTAAGGGAAATCTGTCTTATTTGGTTTTTTAGGTCTTTTCTTTGCTGTTGTTGCAGCATTCCAGCTCTGTTGCTGACTACGTAGATCTTTCATGTCTTTCACATGCAAGAAGTCTTAGCTGTTGATATTTCAGACAGGATTACCTGATGCAGTTGCCCTGTCTCTGTTAACGGTTGACAGAGGCCTGAAAACAGATGGCATTAAACTTTAGTAGTGAAGAACAATAGGATCACTACAATGCTGCTTTTTTTCTTGCTAAGAAAAATCTTGAGCTGGACTTTCAAAAGCAGCTGTATATAATTGTTCTTCAGTTTCTGTAGGATGTGTAACTTAAAGCATCTTTAAAACCTGTCCAGTGAATGCCCCTGAGAATTTTTCCAGAATATTTTTAAGTCATCCAGGTAACTGATGAAAACTGTTACGGTGATACCATTACTGTATGGAGTCCTCAGCCGACTGCTCTACAGCAAGGACCTGTAAGTGGTGGTGTTTCTGGAACTCTTCACCTTCCTCTCAACCCCCAAAATGTTAATGACAGTAGACCTCTGTCATCTGCACTAAGTCTACTGATAGTAGTCAGCCATTTTTAATTTCCTCTTTTCTGCCCTTTTAGGGGTTCAGTGGCTTGCTTTCTTGTCAGTACATCCTGCAAACCCTGCTCACTGCAGAATCATAATGCTCTGTAGTTTGAGACTTAGCTGCAAACAAGACCAGATATTTTTTTCTTCGGGTTTTTTGTGCACAAGTGTAGTTACACTACTGCAGCACTTCTGTTTGGATTCTGTATACCAGTAATGGTTCTTAAATCCTATAGCTGATTACTGGAGAGAAATTACAGTAAGGTACAGATCCGTAAGGTAGCTGTAAGCTAAAAACTAAATCAAGTGTACCTTTTTTACCTAAGCTCATATTTTGTGGAGTCCTGAAGAGAACCTTTAACAAGACTTTCTCTTCACATGTCTGGACTTTGCCAGGAAGAAACCAGAACTTCTTTAGGGCAGAAATTTTCTTAGAGAAGCACTTTAAGGGACTTCAGGAATAAGATTAATAGCATTGGTAGGCACTGCATGTTCCGGGTATTGGCTAGGTAATTCCAAAAGGTTTAGAATTGTGATTGAATACTACAGTTTAGTAGCTTGGGGGAGGGTGAGGGAAGAAATACATGGAGAAAGGTTACAGTCTAATATATATGTGTGTGTGTGTTCTAAAAACACTTTATTCTGGAAAAGAGTAGGAAAATGAAAAATCTTTTTTGCAGTTCACGTTCTAACATTTGTTACTGCTCCAAAACCCTGCGTCTGTCTGGGTATTCATGTCAGCAAACTGTCAGAAGCGTCAGTAAAGTCTTCATCCAAAAGAAGTTAGTAATCTGGAAAATTTCACTGAGGTGGTCACTGACTGTAACTTTATGCTAACAGTATTTGACTTAGGCTAAACTTGTGGTAGTGGTGTACTTTCTGAACTGAACTATTTATGGTTGTGGATACTACACAAGAACATCTATTTTGTATTCACTAGCTGTATGAGGTGTAATAAGGTGCCACAGTTCTTTCAGTGGTGATACATTAACTTTGCATGAGGTTCTATACAGTGCAAGGGATATGGCAGTAATTTACCAAGTTTCCTTAAGATTAAAGGGTGGAAAAGTCTGAAGACTGAACACTTTGCTAAATATTTTGCAGGTTGGACAATCTGCTCAACATGGCTTATGGAGTAAAGAGGTAATAAAGGACTATTAGGTTCATAATAACCAGATTATTGTTAAGTATTTTGCATATTCTTACTTTTTCAGTAAGACTTACGTTGGATTTTTGCATGTTGAGACTTCAGCTGAAATTGTTCATTTTGGTGCATTGAGACAAACCTTTTGTAGCAGTTCCATGGAATTCCTGTTTCAAATGACTTACTAATCCTGACTGGTTTTATAGCATGCTTTTCTTTGTTTATCCATGTTAATTTATTTCAGACAGACCTAGCACTGTTCCCCTACTTGTGTATAGTATTGCACGTAGTATTTGTGCAGTTGGGGGCGGCAGGGGGATATTTGTGATGTTACCTTATTAGTCTGGCCAACATGTTCATGCTGTGAAAAGCCCTGTATCACTTCCGGTTTTATTTTGAAATTTCTTCGCTAGGATTTTCTGTGAACAGCTACTTTATGATTCTATTTTGTTTCCCCCATTCTTTAGTAGGTTTCCTCCAATGACCATTGATGGAATGACTAGTTTGGCCGGAATTAATATCCCTGGACATGCAGGAACTGGATGGTGCATTTTTGTGTACAACTTGGCCCCTGATGCTGATGAGAGTATCCTCTGGCAAATGTTTGGACCCTTCGGAGCAGTAACCAATGTGAAGGTCATCCGTGACTTTAACACCAACAAGTGCAAAGGTTTTGGATTTGTGACTATGACAAACTATGATGAGGCAGCTATGGCAATAGCCAGCCTGAATGGATACCGCCTCGGGGACAGAGTATTGCAGGTCTCCTTCAAAACAAACAAAACGCACAAAGCCTAACAAGTTATTCTCAGTGCATTAATACGTGAAAACTATACAACAAAGGCAATTTACAAGAAGCTTTATGCATTAGTAAATGCCTTTGTTGTATGCCAGTGTGGAAATGGGGATAAAATGACTACTTAGCATCCTAAGAATATGTGAGATTTTTTATTGCTAATATTTGAATTAAAACTTCTTAAATATCTTTTGTGTTTGAATATTGACAAGAGGTACAGGGTTTTTACCTGTCACAATGCATATTCTATTGCCTTCTTTGAAGAAGGTGAACCTTTTAAAATGTTTCAGCTAAGGGAAGAAGTTTTTTCTTTTTACATGACTGCCTTTAACCTATGAGTAAATATTGAGGCTTTGTGTTATACTTTTTAAGTTGGTTTTATGTTATTTCTTGATTTTCCTTGTGTTTAATTTACATTTTAATGCATTGCTGTTTTGTTGTTCAAGAAAAGTATTTGAAGTTTACATTTTATTTATAAAGTTATAAGCAGTATTTATTTTATAATTATCATTTGGGTTGGGGAATGGGAACACATTATAAAAGCTTATTGTAAGAATACTGGAGAACTTTTCGTAAAGCAGTACCTTGCCAAAGAGATAAGAGCCTCTTTGATGTGGGTTTAAAAAAGCATCTATTTTTATAAAAAAAAAAAAAATTTGGAGAAACTTTTTACTGGTCCTGGAACAAATATTTTGACTTGAATACTTTGAGAAATCTCTTCATATGACACCTAGTGAGCTTTTAAAACTTACCAGGAAATTTGCAATTGTTGGGGAAAATTTAGAAAGATTTATGATGTAGAAATACTTTTGAGACCTTTGTATTAAGAAGTAGAGTCAATGGGATGCACTGTTGGTTTCATTTTTGTAATCATCAGTGGAGTCTCTGATCATCCTGGTTATTAAGTGATAGGTGGCTCACATTAATTTGTGATTTTGAAACAAATGAAAATTTAAAAAAAGAATATAAGAGCAAGCAGGAAACTTAAAATACTGAGAGATGGGGGAAAAAAAATCTGTTCTTCCTAAAGAATTCCCTTCAGATAGAGCTCATGGTGTTTAGTGATGTACTTGCTATTGTTTGAAGAATTGTTTTGTCTTAAGAAAAGACATTGAGCATGGTTTGCGCAGTAGCAAATCGGCAGAAGTGGCCTGAGTTGGGTATATTTGGAGGTATTTTGAAAGTTATGTTCAAGGCTAACACCTGAGCTTTGTGTAATGTAAATAAGACCTTGAGTTATGAACCTTTCAGCTAATTTTGATTTTAGTTTATTTTTTAAGTTACATGCCAAGTGATGTTCAATTTTGAATGTTTTTGTATGAGTTTTTCCTTTGTAAATGGCATTAACATTGTTACTTGAGGTCTGCTTATTCATTTTTGTTGTCCTGAGGACTTGAATTTACAGTGCATCAGATCTGTTGCTATTTTTGTCTGTAGATAGTCTAGCTTCAGCTGTTTATGGTGATGCTACATTTTTGTTTATAAATATGTTTGTGGTAAAAAACAAGTATAATCATAGGTTTTGAACAAATTTCCTTACATTTTTCATACAAAAACCATAAATACCTGTATGCTATTGAAATTTAACTTTGTATGATGCTTAAATCACTATTTGGGGAAATAGAAAAAGTCTTTACCATGTATTGAAGAAATTTAAGAAAAAAATACAGAATATTTTCTGATTAGCATCTAGCTTATAATTAAATTTTTAAAAAAAAAGCTGAGGGTTTGATGCCTTCACCAGGATGCACTGACAACTATGTAATTACGTCCTGCTTTTTGTATAAACTGAGATGCTCATATGCTTCCCCTTAGAAAAAGCAATGTTCTATGCATAACATAGTTGTACACTATCTTTGCAGTTGCTTTTGGTTCTTATTCTTTTAAACTGTAGTTATAAATTTTTCAGTATAGTACAGTACATATACTGTGAAGCGCGTGCTAAAGTGAGTAAGCGAGTTTTCATGCTGACCCACTCAATGCTATTCAAAAATCAATTGGCTTCCTGAGCACTTCCTCATTCTTAGGTGCATTTAGATTGTTAAAGCTAATCCTCTGCGTTAAAAATTGTATATACTATAGAAATCACAAACTTTCCAATGTGGGGAAAACAGTAGCTACATGCTTCTTTCCTATACTACTGTAGCAACTAACGGCATTGATGAGAAGGCATGTAAATTGGGCTTCACTTTACAGTGTTTATCAGAGCACTTAGTAAAATATAAGGCTGGTATTTATTTGAAGTTGTATAGTATGACTTAATTCACATCTGTTGGAATAGAAAATATATTCTGTTGAGTATTTAAGAGGTTGTACATGTTTTCTTTTGTGTTTGGATCCTTTGTACTTTTTCATGTTCAGTACATCAATAAACAAAGTTGAAGGGAAAACAGTGTCACGAGCAGGTCCTTTACCATATTGTCCTCTGTTTTAATGGGTAAGCAGTCTGAGTGAAAGGTTTCCGCAAAGCTCTTGAGCTCCTTTAACTTACCTTAGGATCCTAGTTACCAACAAGGAGGTAAGACAGTGGAGCTGTGTATCAGTTCTGTTATGTTAGAATTAGTGTTGAATCTTTTCACTTTGGTTTTATATGAACCACTCAATACTTAGGCTAATATAATAAATGACGGTCATTAGACACATTCAGTAAAAATTAATTTGCTGTCTGTCTAGCAGACTGCTATTCAGTGTAACTAAGTTAATGCCCTAGTGTGTTAGGATAAATACAGAGGAGGAGGAAGGACTTACTCTTTATTGCAATGCCATTTGCTTTTAATTACTGCATTTATTTCTGGGCTCCATTAATTGAGTGGATATTCAGTTAAGCTTAGTTTGCTGTCGTTTTCCCTTCCCATCTCTTGAAGAAATTCTTTAAAAATAGTCAACTGTCTCTTGCCCTTTTAAAGTACATATACTCCTAAATTAATTTGCTTTGCTCAAATGAATGAGAGTGAATTTCTACCAGTGAGAATACAATTCCAAAAGTGGCTTATGCAGTATAGCTTTTATTCTTAACTGTTTTTTTTACCTTCTCTTCTACATCTTTACTGTGAGATTTTTTTTGATACAAAACCTTGTAGCATGTGTCGTGGTGTGGAGCATCTCCCATCACTACAGTGTGATGGAGTTGAGTTTGCTTGGATGATGAGGTCGTAAGTCTGTGGACAACACATGTAGATAATAGTACCTCAAGATGTCAGTCATAACAAGTGTTAACAAACTGAGTCTTTATATTTACTTACAGAAATAGTGTGTACTGATGACTTTTTATGTGGTTATGTTCTTTGGTGGCTGGAGTAATGAAAGGATGCAAGACATGGTGCTTGGCAGCAAATGAGGAGCTATATTTGGAGTTCATATTCCAGCAGGGACCTCTGTGTGTTCAGCTTGCACTCTTTCACAGAAGGATAGTTTCAGTTCTCAACTTACACCAGTTTGAGTACAGTGTAACCAGCCATGGTTGAATTATTTTGTTATATGGAAATGAGGACAAAATGCGTTTATGTAATTGCCTTCAGTTTAAAATCAAAACTGCTTATATTTTGAGGGTTAGCTGCAGATAAGCAGGTGGTCAAGGAGCAACACTAAAAATTCAGTTAAGTGCCATTTCCCAGAGGAAAGATCAGTGCTGAAAAATACAGATTTGATTATATGTAGCTGAGCACCTCTGGGTAGTCAGAACTCATGAGTAAGGGAACCCGATGCAAATTTATACAGAGGTAGTACTTTTCCATCATGGGTAAAATAATGGCCTGGGGTTGTGCTATTTCATCCCCGTCAGCACTGTTGATCCAACTCTGCTTGCACCTTCTTTTATGTTGGACTTTGCCCAGTTGTGGCATTTGGACTTCAACATTTCAATGCGTGCACCTCAAAACCGAGAAGAATGCACCTATTTTTACACCGAAATTTTCCTAATTAAAATTTGCTGTAGAGGCACCTGTCTACAAAACTACTGCTATGATGACTAATGCTTTGGGCCAGCAGATGTGCTAGCACATCAGAGGTCATCTGGGCCAAGCAGCTTAAAACAAAGCTGGGGGAGAGATTGGGTCTTTTGGTGGGAGGAGGTGGAGCAGGTACACTTTGATAACGTGGAATGTCTACCTTTGGGGTGAAGAGCAGTTTTAATCTGAAAAGCTTGACTTGTTGCCCACACTTCTAGTAACTATGACAAAAAATGAGGAAACAATGTAAACTTTCAGGTACCTTCAAAGCAACATACGAGTGACTTCAGTGGGTTAAGAGGTTGCCTAACAATGCTATCAAGTCTGGTGCGTTACTGTCTTGTCTTGTAACTACCCTCCTGTTTTCTGTTTTTGACCAACATTCTGCTCTGAGACATAAACGGGAACAAGGAAAAAACTTACTGATTTTTTTATACTTGTAAGGCCACTCTAAAAACCAAGCATAACTGCAGAAAGTTAATAAAACAACTGATTTCTTATTTTATGTACTATATCATGTGACTCCTATACATAAGTGAATTTAAGTCAATATGACATTTTTAGTGACCCTGTAATACTGCAAGGAAAGTTGCTACAACTGCTGGCAGCGTATTGATCATAAACACTGCATACTTTATAAAAACATAAGAGCAGAATTTTAATTGGAAGTAACTCTTACTAAATTATTTTCACTTATGCAGTAGGACCCTTCCTTAGTACAGCACGCGTATGTTGCTTTGAGTGCAAGGATGTTCTTGCACAGTGTCAAGTGTTTACATGAATGTTCTGCTGATAAAAGCTTCTGCAGGTCACCCAGCTGCTGATACAACAGGGCTATTTGCTGACACTTACGAAAGACAATATTCTCTAATAAAAAATTAAATAGCCCTGAAAGCTAGTCCACTGCTCCTTGATGTCTACCTGTCTGAAAAGTTTAGTATTAACTTTTAGAAAGGAAAGGTATTCTGTAGCAGCCTGTTCTGTAAGAAGGAAGGTGGAGATAGCTCAAAATGAAACACTGCTTTCCTACTGCTATCTGTGCTTTGTGCCATCATACAAAATACAACAAGCAAAAGCGTGGTGGCAGACTTTAGTTTTTCTGTCCTTGATTAACATTGGCATTATTCTGATGGATCCAAAACAGTTCAGTTGTACCCTTTACTTCAAACTGCCTGTCTTCCCTGTTCAACAGTTCATGTTTTCTGAGAAGTTATGACCCCAGAAACTTTCTGGTTGAATTACTTGAAGTGGTGTGTTGCATATTCATTGCAAACAGCTGCAGTATCCATTTTTATTGCCACAAACTCAGCTATGTTATAAATCTGAATTTTGAAAGTAACTCTAATGCTTGCTATAAATGATGCTCACTGATGGTGGGCTTTTTCTGTATAGGCAAAATATTTAGTAAACTGAGTTTAGGCTTCCTCAGATTCCTGTTCATTGTGCTAACACTCAACAGCCACACAATGTGTGTTGTGCCCCATCCCACTTCTCTGATCTGTTATTAACCAACCCATCCATTGTGCATCCAAGCCACACAAATAGATTTGTGCAAGTAACAGAGGAAAAGCTTAAGAACAAGAACATAGGCTGTGTTTTACAGACTTCAGGGAAGACCAGAAAGGGCAAAAGTAATCTTCAAATTAGTTTCATTAGGTTGCCTGTACAGGACTTACATAAACTGATCCACAGCTGATTAACAACTTACTTTCTAGTGAGAACTCATTCCTGGATGCTACTGCTTACTTTCCTGATTGAAAACAGGGCCTTCCATGATCTAGATAGCTTAACAATATTTGCCATAACCCTGAAGCTGATGCCTTAGGAATTTATACGGCCATCCCTCAGAACAATTGGGGGAAAAGAGGACAGAACACCAAAACGGTCAAGTCTGGGCCAGAAAGAAAAGTTGAAGTTGTTGAAAATTCAGGTTATGTCTGAGGCTCATTGAGACTTCTCTTGTTTCAAAGATTACCCTCTTTAGTCCTTTGGCTTGTT